AATGAAAAAGCAATTGCCTCTAAAACGAAATACCGATTGTTGGTTATGTTCCTTTAAATAAATTAGGTAACCTGACTTGTTTTTTGTCGTCTTGCATTAAATGTTATTAAATTTAGTTTTGTCTGCAATACAAAATACGTATATAAATAGTAAATCCATTTAGGTATCAATGGAATATTTAAAAATACTCGTTGTAGTAAAATATTAGTCCTACCACTAATCAATGACACATCGTATACATCATGCCAGAAAAATTTTAGTTTTTAACTATTATTATTTAATAATTAATATTTAGTATTTTTGTATCGCATTTATGTAATTAAGAAAATTTTATGTATATATTATCAATAGGCTTAGGTAGCTATTCTAGCTAGGAATGCCTTAAGAGGATGTCAGCGCACTATTTGTTTTCTCTCTCTGGCCCACGCGCAACATAGACAAAACACATTTACGCAGAAACATTTTTTCTATGTTTTTAAGTAATCTTAGAGTAAAATCAACCATTACAAAAAAGATAGAGAATAATATTTTTGAGGGAATGTCATATCGATTTGTCTAAATATTGTCTCAAAACAATTTAAACATCATTTTAATGTACAACTTTTTTTTGTTTATTTTGAAAGTTTAATAATAATAATAAAAAAAAGTAGTAAAATATAGAAGTTAAAACTAGGATACATAGTATTAAAATTAGATACATCTGAACTAGATACATAGTATTAATTTATTTAGGAAGATTTACTCACCTTCATCTTTTGTTGGATCTTTTGTCGATGTCATTACTCAATACTAATTTATATTTAAAAAAGGGACTCGGTCTATAATTGTTCAACTATTAATTTTACAATGATGTGTGTTTTCTATTTTTATTATTTATTTTTTTGTGTCTGCATACATGTATACACGATAAGTAGTCGATATAATACCTACTTCGATTTTCAATTTCAGTAGCTTTTCCGGCGGGAAAAAGGATCTAGTCGGTGCGTTAGGCTTGTACAATTTAAAATTCCCAGTTGTTACTGTAGAAACCGCCATATTCCCATAAGTGTTAAAAAGCGGGAATAACAAAAATAAAATAGGTAAGAAGTCGAAATAATTCTTCGATTTTTGACTTCAGTATCTTGAGTTGTTTGTTGGGAAAGTGTATCTAGTTAGTGCATTGGGGAGGTCAAAATTTAAAATTCACAGTAGTTTTCAAAACTGCCATATTTCCTGAAGTTTTCAAAAACTCCAAGAAAAACAATAAAGAATTAAGGAAAAACGGACATTTTTACGTAAAATAGGTTTCTGAAAAAATCGATTTTGGTTTATGGTCTAACTCTAAAAAAAAATGAGCAGCATGAACTAACATGAAATTTCAATGAATGTTAATATTAGCATTTTTTATATACCACAATATTTTCAAAATATTTTGACTTGTATTGATCTGTTTACTTGTAACCTACTGTGCAGCAGAGCGACTTCCACTTACCCGCTTTTTTTTCTTGGGGCCATTCTTACTTATTACCTATATTTTTTAGTTAGGTACTAATTAACATTTTTTCTCAATAATTTCAATCTAAATAATTAATTCAAATTTTTTAAATAGCAAAGGATATAGTCTGTGACTTCGTGACGTATTTATGACAAAATTATGTTTCATAAAATATATATTCTCCATATTTAAACAAAACTAGTAAGTCATTTTACCCAAATATCCTACATAATTGTTATTTAAATTTAAATTTTAGAGACGATAAGTTTTTTACTTTGGTTGAAGAAATGCACTCTATAATAAATTACACGCTATTTTTTTGGCATAAGAAATTAAAAATATAAATATTTGAATTTTTACTGTTAAGGGGGCTTTGGCTATTACTGACAAAATGGCCATGCAACATTGAGAGTCGCCATAATGACCCAATTCTGAGTTAGCGCACTTAAATTGAAGCTAATTGCATACTAATTTTCGGCAAAAGAAAAGTTACTTATATTTGAATATTTTATTGATAAACGGTGGCGGAGGAGTGGAATTTTCACTCAATCCTCCTTTTTTGGACCTTCAGTCGAAATGACTCGTTCCTTTAACTAAATTATAGCTGTACCTATACCAATAAATGACTAGGTACTAAAAATCTAAAATATTTGGAATACTTATCCTACCTGCTGTATAATGTATTGTATAGTATTTAACCATTTTTTGACAAATGTTGTTAATATTTGAATTTAAACTCATATAGGTATAATAAGACGGTACTTTAAGAATGTATTTTGGATAATTTTAAATTCCTTTAAGAAAATCTAACAAAAATTATTAAATTACACTATCCAGATTTTTAACTTAGAATTACATATTTTACAAACTTAAAAATAGAAAATGTTTAATGTTTAACAATAGCTTGAAATTAGTCTAAATATTTTGTAGATGTTGTATATAAAATATAAATAATACCTAAGTGTATTTGTAAGTAAATATAATCAACGGTAAATGGTAATACTAAAATATTTCAAGTTTATACAATTAAAATGTTTATTCTCTCTAGCAAGAATAAATGCTGATGTACTTTTAGGTGGAGCACTGATTCACTGTTTTTTTTAACCTATATTCATCTCTGATATCATTCAAACTGGAATCAAACGTAGTTGGTGACTGCTGACAGGGCTGCCCCTGTCTCAGACTGGGAGTATATCTGCCCGGGTGGAGATGACAGGCGTAAATATTGAGGCAGGCTTCGGGGAGCTTACCTCCCATAAAAGAAACACAAGAGGTCCCCAAACTTTTGAGCTGAAATTCGTCGTATTTTTGTCAATTCGAATGTAGTTTCAACCACTTTTAACTTTTAAGTAAACTTCTGCTTGGTGTTTTTTAAGCACTTCCAGTGGCGTAAATTGGCTTAAATTTCTGGTGGCGCAGAGAAATATTCTAATTTCTAACCTACAAATACTCCAAAATCCTTTGTATCACTGTTTTATAAACAATTTTTTCCCTACAAAAATTTAGATTGAAAAATCGTAGATTTGTATTGAATTAAAAATATAACTGTAAAAACTTTATTATTATAACAAATGGTGACTTTTATGAGCTTAAAGATAGCTTTTAATAGCTTACTATTAAGATGTAGGTACCAAAAAAGTAGATAGGATTTTTCATACCATCTCAAAAGCTTCATTATACCTAATGATTCCATTAGAGATTCTCTCTACTCTGATTTTTAAAACACTCACTTAACTAGCTAATTTCACAATCCCCCTCCCACCCGTACTAGACCATTTTTAGTGATAGTAGGACATTTCCACCCAATACATTATTTAAGGTGGACATATTATATTTGAATATAATTCTTTTTTTTTTGTTCAATGTCTTATTTTGTCTTAAGAGGACGCCACACCCGCATGTGTTGTCTCCGTCTTACAAACGTACAACATGTCAAATTGTACGTTCACAATAATACATTTTACTCTGTAAATTCTAAAATTAGAGTGAATTGTGTTATAAAATTTAAAGGTAAGATTCTCTAGGGTATCTCAGAGGCTTTATTGATATTTTTAATAAGAAGCAAGTTTCGACTTTTTTTTAAATATATATTTTTCGTATTTCTTAAAATGGTCATAATTAAAAATCTTAAATCTTACTTAAAGATAATAATATCAATAAAATCATCCGAGATGCCCTAGATAATATTCTTAACTTTAAATGTTATAATGAGTCTATTCACACTAATTTTAAAAATAACAAAGTAAAATGGATTATTGTTAACGTAAAACTTGATATGTTGTACGTTTATAAGACAGAGAAAACACATGCGGATGGCGTCCTCTTGACACAGAATAAATAACAAAATATTTCAACAAATATAATAATAAACTATAATAGATGTATATTTTTGATCATTGTTTATTTTCAAAGTACCATTCAAATAATACCTATGTAAAGTTTAAAACAAGTATTTATAATATTATAATAATATTACAATATTAATTTACAAAAACCCATTGCAATTATTACTATATTAGGTACCATTTAACAAAATGCGTAATATCCATTTGGCACAAGACATTTGTTCAAAATCAAAAACTAAAGTTTTTGATATTATCTTAGAGAACATATACTTTTAAGTTTTGATAAAAGTGAAAGGTAGATCGTAGATTTCTTTAGTTTGTTTATATATAATACATGCTTTATTAAAAAAAAAACAATGTATACATTGAATTAAGGCGTTGTTAAAACAAAATAGTTTCATATTCAAATACATTTAAAAAAAATATTGAGGGGTGAAATGTCCGAATTTATAACAGGTATAATATGTAAACCATGTGGCTTATAGTAATACTATATGCATAGCGCCACTAGCCATTTCACGACGAAGTACCTCCACTGGAAGGTCTCTTCACTCTAAAAATCTTGTAATTATCGTATGTAATATTCTCAATTAAGCTTATTGTTCAACGCAAAACATGGACTAGGTAAATATTTTATTAACATTACTAGCCCAAATAAAAATTATATTAAAATATGTATATATATTTCGAATTACAACAAAATTTTATTTTGAAAATTTGAATTTCAGACATTAAACATTTGACTGTATATTCAATATTTTTAAATTTAGGTATGTAAGAAATGTTGTCTGTATAACCATGCACAAAAAACTGTTTTACATATAGAAAATATTTTAGGTTTTAATAATGTATTAGGTTTAATATTATATCTAAATTGTTTGGTAACGCCTTATATATTTTTAAACTTGAAAAAAAAAACTTAACGAATTTATTTATATTTACTAGTTACTTATTAGTTATTACGAAATGAATCAGCAAGAAATTACACTTTAAAAATAATCATAAGTAGGTATATAATAAGAAGTTAAACATCAACTATATATATATATACTTAAATAAGTAAGTAATAAAGCCTGTGGTTCTTAACATTTTAATTTAAATAAATTATATAGGTTGTAAAACAAAACTGGGTTTGAATAATCATTTATAAATCTAAAAAGAAAATAAATAATGAACTTTGATCAATCATCGCCGCCAGTCATGACTTCCATGAATTCTATAAAGAAATAAAATAAAATACATTTATTATTGTTCACTTGTTTACTTTTGTATCTTTTCAAATATGACTGCACAATTTATAAATAATTCATTAATTTTTATAATATGTATGTACCGTCTACCAATGTCCAATATTATTAATAAAATAAATTGATATAGAGATTTTGTAAATTTGTTTATTTTGTTTTATATTAGAAAATAGGTACGTAACAACTTAGAACTAAAATTGGATTTAGATTGTGAAGAATTACACTTTTTATCAAATTGAACGAGAAAATAACTATGTTTCATATTTTCTATTACATTATAGTATTAATATTTACATTAAAAAATTTACATGTTGATCAATGTATAAGGATATTTTTTAATTTGAATTTGAATTTAATAGTATTGGCTTAAGACTAAACACTTATAAATAAATGGAGGAAAATATAAGAACTAATATTATAATGTCTAGACACGGTTTTTTCAGTTTCTATTTTAAAATTTAAAAATAATGCTTAAGCTTGTATTATACTATTGTCTGTCTGCAAATTCCATACCTACGGTAATTATTAAACGTATCTTGTGTTTGCCAGAATCTTGTACGTAGCCAAATAGTTTAAGATGTTTAGCCAACATAGTGATTAACTATTAGGAAGCCATAATAATATGTATTATAAGCAGTATAATATACTAGGATATTACTATAGTTTTTAGTAAAAATAAAAATGTATTAATCATCTTATTTTGGTTGTAGATAAGGTGAGCTTAGGTTGATTTAATTTATGGATACTTAGTAATGTGGCGATAAAACTGAATATAAAATGATAATTACTGTTTTTATAAAAATAAATTAGTGCAATTTTAAGGAATTTCGTTAATTAAATAAACTAAAACATATATTTTGTTTAATATCACATTGTTGATGAGGTTATTTTTGTAATATATAATATTAAAGGAATGAACTCCATAAAAGAAGACAATAAAAACTATTTTATTAAGAATTAAATATATAATTTTATATTTTTTTTTTATAAGTCATTGATTACACTTACATTATATATAATTAATCTGTGTACCTTAACTATAAATAATAAACGTTTATATAAATATTTTAAATTGAGACATTTTACTAAGTCGAACTTTTAGGTAGGTATAACCAATATTGAAAGAGAATACTTCTATAATGATTTATTTTTAATAGTAATTGAATAAAATATTTTATAAATTACATTAATATTTTAATTGTAAAACATCTACATATTTTGCTGTGCTACAAATATTATAAATTTATAACTAATCACTACTACCTACTTAATGTATTCTATATATTTTGTTTACCTGTGTTTTATTTATATTTGAAGTATTTTAACACACAATTATTTAAGACATTATTGACGAGGTGGACTTAAATGCCAAGAAAATATTATTGGCATTTTTCCAGTTAAACATATCGTTGTTTCACTCAATATATTTTTAATGCTTCTCTTATCTCGTGTAAAAAATACGAAATCGTATTAAAAAGGCTAGAATATTTTCGAATTTGTTCGATAGATTTATTACTTTCTTTTGCGATTTTTGTATAGTTATTCGAGAGTTTTGTCGTTGTATACTTTATACACATGTTATATAGTGTATATCACAGTGTATGGGACAACAGTTATAGAATAATGAAAAATATCAAGAGGGGATTATCAACCACAAAACTTGATTCTGTTCTATATAATATAATATAATATTGTTATTTTCCATTATTTTATATTTAAAACAAATAATACATAGTTATAATACGCTTTTAAAAATACTTTTGTTGACTATTACATTCTTACTTTATACAATATGGAAATTAAGGTTTTAATTTGTATAATCTACTTTTACCAAAACGTATTTCAATTATAAATAGTTGTACCTATGCCCTATACATATGCCCTTTTTCAAATTATACTGCAGTAATAATTTTCCTTTACTAATCATCATATTATGTTAGGTAGGTTAACTACCTACGTTACGTTTTTTATGTGCATAATACTGTATATTTTTACGCCAAGTTTTTTATAAATAATTATTTATTTAGGTTATTTATTTATTTTTAGATTCTGAGCGGAGCTACGAATGTATTGGTTTTGCAATGATGTGTTTTTTATATTCACAATATTTTTGTGTACCTGTCATCACCTTTTGGAGCATAGATAATACTTCAATATTTTGATTTTAAGGGTGGTTTTTGATACCAAATTGAATCTAGTTTTTTTTTTTTTTGGTTTGGTTGGTAAAATTCCTTGCTCTTTTCTAAATAATCAAGAAAATTAAAATAAAATTACGAAAAAAAGAATATACGGGAATACAGTTTTTGACTACATCGATTTTGTTTTTTTGTTTGAATAAAAAAGGATAACCGTAGGTATTTGAAACTATGTATTACTAAATATTATTACAATCTTATAAACTTGGTATAATTTGCAAAATATTTTAGCTCTTTTAAATATAGTTACAGACATCTCAAATTGTTGACTTTTTTTAAAATTTGTATTGATATAACTTTTTTAAGTAAAAGAGCATTGAAAATCGAACAATGTTACCTATAAGTTGTACTTACAGCAATAAAAAGTTTATCAACAATAGATGGTAACAATTCAAAATCACTAAAATATGCAAATTATTTTGTAGTTAAAAATGCATTAAATGCTTAAAAGATATAAAATATAAATAATATATTACAATTTTAATAAAAGATTACTTTATTTTTACTGTAATTAAAAAAAAAAGTTAGTTTTAAGTCACATTCAATTTTTTTGAGTGTTAGAAAATCAAATTTTAATGTAATTGCATATTTATACGAAAAATAACAATTAGACTGTATTTTTGGCAAAAATAAGTTAAACCTGCTTTATTATGCTTATAGAATCTATTTTATTAATGGTAGTACAAATAAATTATAAGATTTCCTCAGAAATAATACACATACCGTCTCCGCTCAGAATCAGTTTTCGTATGCAATGGTTTATCACTGAATTCGAACTCAACATTTTATCCATTATACTGAATTCAATGACGACGGACACTAGAAACCTATTTTATAGCAGCACAACTTCCCCAGTTTTTAATCTTATAAATACATATTCAGAAAAGTTAACGTTATAACTAAAGTTAGCAGGTAGAAAATAAATAGATAATTTTGTACAAACCGTCAAAATCAACAGTGCCTGAACCATCAGAATCAATTTCCTCTATCATCATATCTAGATCTTCATTTGTTATTTTGTCGTCTAATTCTTTGAGTATTTCTCTTAAAACATCCGTAGTAATGTATCCATTTCCTAGGGTGAGATATAACTTTTAATTTAACTTAAATTATTAAAATATTATTATTCTCATCAAACCTTCTTTATCATATAATCTAAACGCTTCTTTTAGTTCCGCTTGCATAGCCTCCACGTCTTCCGGTTCATCTTCAGTTAGGAATCCAGCTGCTAGTGTAACAAATTCTTCGAATTCTAACTCTCCCGATCCTGATAAACAATACAAAATGTTATTGGCGTTTAAAACTAGTGAGCTATTCGATATATAATATAATATATTTTGTAATAATATGAGTATGCGTCTTTAGTTCATATAAAATTAACTTCGTACCTACACAATTTTTTTTACAATATTGATTGAGATTAATGTGACAAAATAAAACAATATTTACATTTTTTTGAATATTTTTAACGATTAGATGTATAAATAACAAATGCATTTTGACATTTAAAAACAATGGTATAAAAAGTTGATTTTTCAACCAGTTTAAAACAATTAAAAAAAAACATCTGAACAATAATTTACGTTGAAAAGGATGATTCTTACTTGGAAAAAAAGAAGTTTACATTACATGCTAATAAAATAAGCTAATAAAGTATATGAAAATATGGTTTTAAAGTGTACCTAATTAAAAATGTTATAAATCTGAATTTGAATAAATGCCACTATAAAGTATAAGAGGAGGGTGAGCATGCTTAGGAAATCACTCTGTGTAAGATATACAATATAGTAATTATGAATAGAAAAATGTTTTTCTAATAACCTAAAAGTACTTCACTTTACGTATAAAAAATACAAAGTATATACCTAAAGCGTAATGGAAAATAGTAAATTTGCATTTTAAAAATTTGCGAAATACTTTATTATTGCTACCTTTTAAAAATCATACCCAGTATATAGGTCACAATAATAATTATATAGGTAAAAAGATATTTTATATTGCAATCTTTCAATATACTTATTGTAAGATAAGGTTGTCATATAATTTCTAGTAAAATAAAAAAGATAAATACTGGGTGATTCTTTTATCAAACAACACTCATTATTTCAAAAAGCGTAAATTTTTTTGAAAATATTTTTTTACATAGTTTCAAGTCGCTTATAAAACAACGTTTTTATTAAAAAATTATATTTTTAAATATACTATACCTTATATTTACTATACCTTCCATTATCTATACAAATGTATGGTAGCTATAACTTGCAATTATTTTATAATTCAATTATATTTTTAAATATTAATATTTAAAAATATAATATAATTATAAAATAATAAAATAATTATAAAATATATATAATAATATTATATTATTATATATAGATTTTATTTGAAGTAATATAATTAATGTGCCATTTATTATATTTATCATTAGCAGTATAACTTATTTTACCCATTCTAATAATAATGATTTGTAGTTATTTGTAGTTTTACTCCCTAACATATTTATTAAGACAAGCGAATGTATAGAAAAATATATTGTTGAAAGATTGCCAAAAATAATTCATATGTCTATCAATATTTTCGTGTCAGATTTACTTTCATACCTCCAGGCTCCAATATTGTTTTTGTTTGCTACAATAATAGATTCTAAATATTTTATGTGGTAAATATTTAACTAAATAATTTGGTGAATCAAATTATGTAGATAAATATAATGTATATATTTGTATAATATAAATAAAACTCTAAAAATTGATATTTAATAGTGATCTGTCTACCTGTAAGTTAATACATTGCACTCATAAATACATATTGCTATTATATAATTCTAGAAAACATTGTGAAAAAAGTGTTTAAAAAATCATTTTATTTTGTGAATGGGAAATTTGGTTTCAGGTATATAACATTTTAAGTTTTTAGCCCAACGCTGAAGTGTCGTCGCTTCTATCATGTCTACATGTTTATAAAAATTATATTATATTTCTTCGGTCTATTGTGCTAACTATGTACTGATTGTTGAATAACCTAATAAAAATTTTAAATGTGACTTTTTAGTTTATTAAAAAGTTACTAAAGGAGCCAAATACGGCGAGATATAATGTATATATTATATTATATATATTGTATATATTATAATATATTTTTGTAATAATAATAATAATAAGTTATTTATAATTTAAATATTAATTTAAACATTTGTTTCTTTTTATTTACAGGTAAGTGTTTTTAAGTTACCAAATCAACAAAAAGAGAAATCACCGGTCTATCTTAGGTAATAAAAACAAAATTTTCCTATAAATATTTTGGACATAACAGCAATTGAAGTAGGTAATACCATAAAGGTATAATAAAAAAAATCTGTTTTAAAAAATATACTTCAAGATAATGTAGACAACCTTTTAGGGTTGGTTACTTGCGTTTAACTCGTATTAATTAGTTTATAATTATATAATATATATATATAACAATTTAATGATTTACCATCAGCATCGACCTCAGCAATAATTTCTTGTAAACGGTCCTCGGAAACGTCGTGACCCAACATTTGAAGAATTGTACCAACCATGTTGGTTTCAATGAATCCCTTGTCTTGAGCGAAAGCATCGAAAGCTCGTTTTAGTACTAAGATATAAATATTTCCATTATTAAACTGTTTAATATACATTTTTTTTAGGTATGTAAGTATAGTATATACATATAAATATTTTAAATCTATATAATACTTACGAGCTATTTGGTCTTTGTCTAGATCGTCCTAAACGCAAAAAAAAAATGTTAATAGGTAATTATTATCTATTTTATAGGCAATTGTGTTAGTTAAAGTTACTTAACTATAGTTTAATAGTAGGTACTTACTTTGGTTACCATTTTTCAAAAATATTTCTATTATATAGAGCTGTTATTCTTTTAAGTGAACTAAGTTGTAAGGAGCAGCCAAATATTAAGGTGACTAGCAGAACTCAGAGAGACTGACGCATAGACGTCATAAAATGAAGTGGTCCCAAGCCAAGTACCAACAGTCTCCCTCCTGATTGTTCAAGTTAAAATTACGCCCATGTATTGTCTCTTCCCTTAAAAGTTAATTTTACTCATTCTTTTAAATGCCATTGTAAAATCGCTTGATATTCTTACTCAGATTTATAAGTTGTATAATTTATTACACTTTTATTACTCTTGCGTTATAATGGGCTTTTAAGTATTTTATGAATTACATAATGACTATGTAAGAACACTAGTCTTATTATAACATATATCATAAATATAAATATAATGTATGAAATATTTTATATGATTTTTAAATATTACGATAGTGAATGATACGTATGTATTTAATATTTATGGACTATAAGTTGTTGAATTTATTTTTTCTGTTACCTATATAAACCTAGCGTATGTTTTATATTATTAAATAAAATTGAAGTAAATTTTATAAATAAGTCGCATATTGGACACTATTTTGGCACTAGATTATGGATCGACCGCGTTTAAATTTAAATGTCATTTGGCGTACACACAATGGAGACATATTGTATCGATTGTTATACACCCAAAACCATGTACCTATGTGGTTTGTACGCATCTAGGATTATTATTTATTTGCTTACCTCTTACTTTCTATCTACCATTGTCAACGAGTTATATTGAATTGTAATTTACTTTACTTTTTAATTAACTATATATATATACACATAATACATATAATATTTAAAACATATATAAAAAAACAATAGTATAGGTGCAAATGTACGTACATATTATTATGTTTAGGGTATGAAAAAAAATATATATTTTTTATGTGTTTTGAGTAATATTGTTTTTTGTTGTTTGATTGTCTTCCGATCTATGAATGTTTTTTTTTAAATATACATTATTAACATTTTAACTAAGGAAACTGGGTCATTCAACTGTCCTGGGTGTCAATGAAGTGTGGTATGTTATTATATATTTGTATGTCGACATTTAAAGCATTATATTATTAAAATACTTAAAAAAATAATTTACCGAGATTACTGTTTCGTTATAAAATAATCACTCTATATATTCACACGTATACATTGAAATTCTTGAATAAGTTTAAAAACTTAGTAGTTAAGTATGTTTATTCCAATTTTTTATTTTTTTTATTTTTAAACTAGAGAATTGTACAATCTGTAAGTTTAGGTTTACAATAAACACAAGTGAAGAAAGAATTTTATAAGAAAAAAAAAAAAATAATATGTGTAAGACGACAACAAGTTGAGAAGTTACAATTATTATTTACATTAATTCGGACAGGGGGTTTTGAGTGAAGAGACCATCCATTGATGGGACTTCATGACATGTGCACGGAAAAAAAATGTGGTTAAAAAACCATTTAAATGGTTATTCGACACCAAAATGTTGGTAAATGTATAGTGACAGCCACACACCATAGGTAAAGTTACCATATGAGTTCGGTTGATGCATTATGGTTATTATAACTATGTAATGTGTTACCTTAGATATAACATGGCTGATCTAATTATCGGAAATATTTAGTGTACATATTTATTTAGTCTATATAACTATAAGTTAGTAAATAAAACTACATTGTATTTTTCACCAAATAGGCATAGTTATAACTTATAACCAATATATTATAGTAATAATGAGTTTAATATTTTTAACCATTTACTATAGTAAAATTATTTTTTTCCGTGTGGCGGTGGGGGTTAGTCTAAAAGTAGATCACGGCACCATGTTCTTTGGATTAGTTGGCATTGTTGATATTTGTGAGATTTGAGAGGGCAGTGGTGAGGAGTGCTATGAGACGGTTTGGGATGGCTTTGAACTCGTTGAGGAATTTAAGAAGCTCGCCTCCGTTGTTAGGATATGTGGGATTAGGTTTGGGAGGTTGGTGACCCTCAGTTACATTAACATACGAACGTGGCACAACCACTTGGACGAAGATTCTGTAGCTGGGTGTTGTTGGAATTGTTCTACGTTGACGGTGGAGTTGAATGGCGGTGGTTGTTGAGATTTCTTGCTTAAGAAATTGTTGTGCTTGCGAGTCAGTTGCTTGTACACTGTACATCCTTTATAGTTGGCTGGGTGCGCACCTTTGCAGAGGGCGCATTTAGCCGGAAGGTCTGATGATTTTACACAGGTGGTAGAGGGGTGTTCGAGTGTGCAAAATAGAGGTTATGGAGAAAATATCGCTATCCCTGTCGTTCGGGTATTAACACAATTTAAAAATAATTTATACTATTATTATATGTTGAAATATATACTATAATACACCTCCGATTTATGGACTTGCATAATGAGCTATAACAATAAAACCCATAAGTACCTATAATTCAATTTGGACACTCTTCTTAATTCATTTATTGTAAAATTATACATATTAAGTGTGGTTTGTTAGAATTTTACCGATGACTAGATGAAGTTTGACACATTCATAATATGTTTGTCTTATATATTCTCTAGATACCTACTTGTAAACGTAAATGAGACAACTATTGGAATAATTATTAATTACTAGATACTAAACGTTTCGAATTTATCAGGTTGACGACGGATATTACATTTCTCTTATGTATAAGAACTTTAAAATAATTTATGTTCTTAAGAATACAATATCATCGTTTGAACCTAACCTAACCTCATTTAAAAAAATTCAATAATACACAATGACGGGTTGTATGTGTGGGACTATCAAAGTTATAACAAAACCATAATTAAGGGAAAAAACCATGATAAATTATAAATTGAAGGTTATTGTTTAAATTATTTATGCTTTTGAAATTAATAGCAAAACATTTTCGTTAACTACAATTTGTTGTGGTAAATTTGTATTGCTAAGACAATTGTATCATAAAGGGAAAACAGAGTAATTTTTCTATCAATATTATATGAAAGTTTTACTTAAACTTACCTGGGTAGGTATATATTTATAATCTAATTAATATTGTTCTAATTATATTATTATATTTAATATTGTGAACAGTATATTTTCACAGTAATGACCCAGAACCTTGTTGCGTTGCAACTATAAGATAAATGATGATCGTTTTATTCATTTTTACATATTTTGTATTTCTGTGTACACGATATTTGCAGAACTTTCTATTTAATTTTATGTCTTATAATTTCGGTTGACTTCCAATAGGTAATAATAATACGAGCCTTCGGATGATGGTACTGATGGTAGATAGTGGTTTATTCAAGACAAAGTTTTACGATGTATTTTATCACATTAAACTTACAGTCGCTCCTTTACCTATTAAAAACCCTCTTACTCACATACTTAGACTTTCTTTCTCACTAGCTTTAACTGGGACTAGGTAATTATTTATTGTGCTCCTAACGTATAATACAACATGCATTGGCAATACAATATTGTATTCAGGATTGTTGAATCATTGGAACAATTATTTTATGTACCGCTCTAGCAGAGAATTAAATGACAGTGAATTAACAAAACTAAATTGTATGATGTGTTTCTTGAGATTTAAATTAGTCTTAAATTAAATTAAATTAAATTAATTTTATACAAACAATAAAAGATTATCTTTGTATAATATTTTTAAACTGCGTTATTAATTTGAAAATAAGACAAATAAATAATTTATACCGTTATTAATGTTTTTAAGCATCTGTGATATTATACTTTAGTTCTCTTTTAATTACCTAGTTTAAACAAAACATATACCTGAATTACATTTCTCTGACTTAAATAATAAATTCTAGAGTATAAATAATTTTAATGCAGTTGTAAAGATTAAATAAAAAACCTGACAATATAATGATTATAACTTGCATTATGAATAGTATATAACTTTTTTATTATTTAATATATATACCTACTTTTATGTTAAAAAACTTAATATCAATAAAATAGGTTTGTTAAAGGTAAAATATGGACTGTGAAAACCACTATAAAAACGATTTCGAACTCTTAACTGAAATGGATTACCAATTTGTGATAGTGAACCTATTAAATAGAAGAAAAACAATTAGGCCACTTTTGTATGTTCGCATTTATATTGTCTTCATTGGCTTGGTTATTACTGTCTAGCCTACGGAACTATTATCATTTGTCCTTTTGTTCTTGCTATTGATTCGAAGAACACAATATCATGGCCGAGGAAAGAATCCTTGCGTCTAACATACTATTAATACGAAATTGTTTGATTGCCCCTTTTTGTATTATTAACATGATTTTTAAATTCTATGACCTCATTTTTTTCACTTACCTATTTTTTTAAAAAACTTAAAATTATTATTTTTTTTATAATGCATACTTTCAAATCATTTCTATTTTAAGCTGTTAAGTAAATAGTAGGTAAATATCAGCATTTATATCAAAATAAATATTGTTAAGTTATTTAAAAATGTATAAGAAGTAATTTATTTTTAAGTATTCAGTTAACATGAATTAAATTTGTTTAAAGTTATTTGATATTTTGAAACTGTATTGAGTAAATGAATCATAATAAAAAAAAAACACCAGGAAATTGAATATTAATCGGTTTATTTATATTTTATTTTAATATATTGTTGCATTATTTTGTTTATAGTTGTTAGGTATAGTTATTTTTATCTTTTAACGAATAAGAATATATTTTTACAAATGTACATTTTGAGACCCTATGAGACCCTATGCAAATAGTAAAATATGTGTTGCATATTTTAATGTTATATTATTGATAGGGTTTTATATAGGAAAGAGGAAAGAGAAAAGAAAAATAATAAATAATTGTTAACTTTGATTTAAGATGGGGTTTAAGAAGGTGTAGTTTTTCGTTTTTTACATTTTTGCTGCCGAGAAAGTTGAACGATATAAAACTCGAACTGTGATAATAATTAAGGATATTTATATGAAAACATGATTGATGATGTTTATATATTTAATACTGATGATAATGATATTAATAATAACGAAAAATACTTCGTGAGTTGGCCCAAAACGCTCGTAGACACATTACTTATTAGTTATTACGTAATACTATTTTCTAATTTCTATTATATGCTGTTAACCACCATCATTCTCCGATTTTGTCCATTCAGCGAACCCGCCGTTGTTGCATCTTTTTGAGGACCATGGTCACGGGAGTAACAGTTTTTTTTTAAATAAATATTATTCGAGTTACTCTTACCACCTCTTTTGACAACCGTCTAGGAGGATAAAGGAAAAATATTGCCGGTATGTGTACTTCTGTACTATCTTTTGCATAAGAGTCAACGCACGGATTATAATATGGGAGACAGCGGTTATCGTCTCGATTTAAGGTTTCTCTTGGATAACGTGGTGGCGTTATTGGAGCGTGACGGTATATATATATTTATATAAATTATGTATATACATGATGTAACAGAAAGACCTGACATATAAATAACTTTTGTTCTAAACAATATTTTAAAATTGTTTTTCTATACATAATTTATTGATTCTTGCGTTACACGTATAATATAACATAATTTATTTTTTAAAACTGAAAATAAAAATTCAAAACAGTCAATTTGTAAATCTGATTTTAAGAAAAATTTTGATTGTGAAATATTTCTTTAAGTCATGTAGCTTAATTTTATTTTTTTTTTTTAAATATAAACATTTTACTATCAAGATTCATTAAGTTGAAAAGTAATAACATTAAAAAAAAAATATTTTTAACCTACCTATTTAAAAATAATCGTAAAATATTTGTAACAAGTTTATACTTTTTGAATTTATAATGTTTTTTTAGATTGATAAACTTTACTATACAAAATAAAGATATTTTAAAAAATTTCAGTTTTGTTTTTTTTTTACTATGTTAATATTTAAAGTTTAACTGACTTTATGGGTTAAGAAATGTATATGTGAAGTAATAGTTTATTGTGTTGTTCTTGTATTTTAGGGATAGAATTAGTTAATTTAAAATAATGCTTAAATTATCTGCACCTTAAATTACAAGCTTAACCTCACCTGTTAAATCTAAATATATTAATTGTAACTGATGAGTGACATTAATAAAACACGATTGTTCAATAAACCGCTATTAGCGCAACTTACAACTGGTGTTCGTGGCTTTACAGGTATCGTTTTGGCCATGAGGTGATATGCTCCTAAGTGAACTCCGTTAAAATAACGTACTAGTTAACATGTCATCACTCAAGTTTTAGATTCATAACCTGTTAACAGAAACTTTTTAATAACTGTATGCTTTTATGCTATTATTAACTTCTGTCTGTTAAATATTTATAACATTTGTTGTATTAATTATGTTGTTTATTCCTTACATTGTACGTAATTTAGTAATAATAACTATAATACATAGGGACACTTAAAACTGTACCACTAACGTGCAGTTTACGTGCTTATTTTTTATTTAACTATGTGTCGGTAAGTGGTTTATGATAATAATAATTAATTGCCGTTGAAATAAATTGGTAAAATAATGTAATTTATTTTAAATTTATTAAGATTTATTTAAACTGAGTCACTTAACGATGTGTTTATAGTAAATTGTACATGATAGATATGAATATAATTTATAATGCGCGCATTCTTAATTTCGAAGTTATCACGAAGTTGTGATGAGTATAGTTGAACAAAAATGGATACTTAGTTTTTTTATTACTTTGTTAAGATGTTAACATACATAGAATAACAAATACATTTAGATTGTAAGTAAATTATTAGGTACACTAGTACACATATTATTGTCTTTTGCGTTTTGCTAGAGCACTTATATATTTAAGAATATAATTTCATTAACTAATATTTCACTCTAGTCTCATAAATGCACTCATAAAGTATTTAACATTTTATCAATATTTAACAAATATGCATTTAGTGGTACTTTTTAACTTGTTTGAAATGTTTATCTCTTCATTTTAGAATTCCATTAAAGGGCCATTAATAGTGAATAATTTATTAGCGAACGTGTTTCTAGTTTACATACGTTTCCCTGAAAAACTGTTCTAAATATTATATTATTATATTGTTTTTAAATATTTATACATACTACCTATATATATACACGCGTATTGCCGTGAGCAGATCACATTGTTAAATGTTTTTTGGACTATTGTATTATAACGCTTTTC